TGCCGACACCCCACCCCCAGCCTGCCGAAGCCCCGCCCCCAACCCGGTCACCAAGTTACACTTGAAGATGGGAGAAGCCTCCCTGACCCTCACTTGCTCGTCACTGCTGAGGCATCGAGATCCATGTCCTCAGTGGGTTTTTTTCTCTTTTTTTTGATTGGACCAATGGCGCTTTGCCATTGGTCCAAACCATTCACAGAGCTCCAGCCTCTAACACACAGTAGAGGCTGTTGCAGCTCTTGCCTCACTAAGTTAGGTTACACAAGCAGTGAGGAAGCCCGCTGCCGTGTAACCTAACTTAGCTGTCAAAAGCCGGATGCAGCCCTGCCTGTAATTAACAGGCAGCACTCCATCCATGACAGTTTATATAGCGGGAAGGCTTTCCTTGCTGTGTAACCTGTTACAAGCCGCTCTGAATGGAGAAAAAGCTGTCAGCTTCAGAACTGAATCTGACAGTTTTTTCCTCCATAATACTATATGAGGCTGCAGAGAGAATGCCTTAAACAAGCTCAGGATGTACCTACCTTCCTTCCTTGTACTCCCCTAATCTGTGACCATACCAATGGTGAATTCTGAACAAGACAAAAATTATACAGGGCTATGCACACTATCCCAGCCACACGTGACATCTCTCAAGTCTGATGACTGGCCACTCAGACACATAGCAGTGCAGTGGGGAGGTCACACAGCAACCACCATACCTGATAAGGGGAATTTTGAAGAAAGAGAGTGTGACATAAAAGCAAATGTGAGGAATATAGTCTAAACAAAGATTACACTCTATGAAATGTAACCGCAACAAAATGTATTTCATAAGAGAAGAGAAAAAAATGCAACCCACCTAAACTTGATCGTGTATTGGATCTCTCTATGATTGCGTGTTTACTCGGATTATTTAATACTGAACGTTTGGCAAGCGAGATGTCAGCAGTGACCCGTGTAATAGATATTCTGGAGAGAGAAAAAAAAAATGTAACACAACTATTAAATTCACTCTGGATAATGGAGCTCGTCACACAACAAAATTAACATAGGACTTAATTAGAGAGCCAATCCAACCATACTGCAGGAAGCTGCATTCAATGGACATCAACGGCAGGATCAGCAAGAATATGTGAGACTTTGAAGATGGACTAAGAGAAAACTGTAAGTGTAGATGTAATTACAATTTCCATAAGTTCTACCCCACTCCTAAAAACCATATCCATTGTGACATACGGAAAGGGGAAGTCATCGGGGAGCGATATATTTCCCCTCGCTTTGTATCATATGTACAAGACTAGCGGAACCCGGACCAGGTTTTCATGTAGACTTTGGGTCTGGGTAATCCAGTTTGATTTTTTTGTCTCTCACCTGGATTGTTTAATTTATTAATGATTGATTATCCAGCTGAGATCAAAGGGGAAGGCTGGAGCATGAGGCTGCTCGAAGGAGTGGAAGAGGAAGAAGAAGAGGAAGAGGGAGGGGGAGAGCTGAATGGAAGAGGGAGAGGGAATGGAAGAGGGAGTGGGAGAGGGAGTGGGAGAGGAAAATACTTTGATTTGTGAGGTGGCTGAGAGAAGCTTACCACCTGTTAGAGAGGAAACCTGTATGTTTAGTTAGAGTCTGGAAGGCAAGGATTTATTTTCTGTTTATTTTGTTTTTAATGCAACCTTTTAAATCAAAACTGACTGCAAGTCAGATTGAAAAAGAACTTTGCTGCCTGGACTACCTTTTTCCCCAGGGAAGGTGATCCCCATTTGAGCTATACCCCCACACCATATAGAAGTTTATAAACGTATTAATTGAAGATGCCCATAGGATGTACTTCCTCAGTGCACTGACATACTATTACTCAGCTCTGTGAATATGAACGTCCTTGTATCACAACTCACAGAGCCTGCCTTCTAAACTATAACTCAGCACCTGAACAATGTAACATTATCATTGCTTGCTGGAAGCAATGCAAGATGGGCTATGTAGTCTTGAGAAATGGAGATTGCATCACACCAAGCAGTAGGGGAAGAGATACAAAGCACACTGGGAATCCAGGAAGTTGTTGAAAGTGATGGGCAGACGGAAGGCAGCACTCACTACATAAAAGGGATTTTTTTCTAGTAAGAATTGATAGTATGTATTCCTATTACAATTCTGATGTTATAAGAGGAGAGTATATGCTGCAACTTTAGAACTCCTTTAAACACTGTCATCAGGCAATGCTAGGCATTAGGAATGTGCTTGGGTTCTATTTTGACACCCATGTCTATGAAGCCTAAATGAGACTTTTAAAACTGGCTGCTGCCAGCAGAAGGTAGTTAGCTGCTTCATCATTTAGTCAAAAAAAAAATGCATCAGTGCAAATCTCGCCAACACTTACCTCCCTTCAAATCTGTGTTTTAAAAAGTCAAATAATGCTTTCTGCATCATATCTGTCACCTGCATGGAAACAAAACCCAAGACATGAGACAAAGGGCTAGTGCCCACACAGACCCAATAGTTCTAATCTGTACTTGAGCAAATCTGTTTATTTCTTCCATATGTATTAAACGGACAATCTCCACAAAGCTTTAGCAGATACACAGAACCAGTCAAATTAGTCCCACCCCTGAGTAGCTTGCACTCCAATGTCCTTACCCCCTAGGAGCCTACAGTATTTATACAAGAGTGAGATGAATATGTTACATTCTTGTCTTTTTCACCAAGTGTCACCAATTTTGCCTAAATTATTTTCACGGGAATTTCATTTCTGTACTTGCCATTGCTATTGTGGTGAAATGTGTGTCACTAATGGACTGTTTAAAAAAAAAAAAGTGAAATTAGCTTTTTATCTGTTTTCACCCACAAAGTTTTCCCATTGTTACCACTCCTGTCCAGATGATTGTACACTAGACAGGGAACAGGAACCATGATGTTTTACTGAAACACTTTCACAAATTTTTCACTAAGCTTTTCACCTTCCCAACCTTCACACTTTCATTAACTTGTAGAAAAGCGGATACAAACACTGAAAATATGCTAAAAGAAATGCCAAATTTCACAGGGTGGTTTATAACTAGCCCCATGGTGACAAGTAGAACACTGTGAACAGTGCACCCAATGAGACTGCTCAGGAGGGACAACAAGACTGTCTGTAGACTACCCAGGAAGAGAAGGAGAGACTGCCCTGTATGGAGAGTGAGATATCCCACAAATGACAGTGGAACCGCTCAGGAGGGAGAGTGCCCCAATGGAGAATCAATGCCCAGGAAGGAGATTGAGGCTTAGACTATAGAGAAGGTGTAAACCCCTTTGGGCATCCTGCCAGGTGCAAAGAGACTGCCCTGTAGAGCTCACAGGAAAGCACCCTGTTCCTTTCCCAGCTCGGGATGAATGAACAGACCTATCCCCTGAAAATGACATCACAGGTCAAATGACGAGTTTTGTGCAGTCAGCCGTGCATGGGAGAGGAACCAGATTCTTCCATTTGCCAAGGCTATGCCTGTTCCTGCCCCCAGAAACCATAGCCTCCACGTGAACTACAATGGCTGTAACTACACCTTTGCACACACACTAGGAACAGATTGGTCAGAAGACATTAAACTGTAATATTTTTGGATTGCGAGAAAAAAGCAGAGCACCCAAGAAAATGTCACACAAACATGGGATTTATGAACTGAATGTACTTTACTGTATATCTTCAGCACTGCAAAGCTAACCACTATCGCGCCGTGCTGCACCAACTATAACATTTCCTACACCATTATTCAGAGTTGAAAAAAATGTACAGCTACTGTATTATTAATTTTGGTAATACATCAGCTTGAACATACCGAACGTTCTTTATGTTTAATGGTGTGCACCTTACCTCATATCCTTTTAATGAAGGCCCCACTAGAACTACAGGTCTCATAGAAGGCACTACATCGTAAGGAGGAATGTGCTCTGTCTGTGCAAAAAGGGAACACGGTCAAACAGGTCATATGAACGTTAATGTGTCCTTTATCTTATGGAATAAAGCTATGGGATATTCCTAGACGCATGGCAGTATCCATGTAGCAGCCTGAATTAGGGAAAGCTATGTTGTTTTTTGCTTCACCCCAACAAATTAGCGCATATCTAACACATGTTTCTGCATTATATCATATAGTGAATTCTTAAATTAGACTTGTTATTTAAATACATGGTGCGTGAAGCATATGATATAACCCCATAACTGTTACAAAAATAATAATACACTATGTGGCCAAAGGTTTGTGAACACCTGACCATCACACCTAGATTAGCTTGTTGGACATCCCATTCCAAAACAATGAGCATGAATGTGGATGTAGCATTCTTATGCCTGTTAGGGACCCCCAAGTATATTGACATTTCACCTCAGAGTGGGATTCTTGACTTTTTACGGGGTGAAGAAAAACTGGGTGCCAGTCAGTTTAGAATAACTGAGTTTATTGTAGGACTGTAAACTCAGGGAGAGTGGGATTAGGTCACAGGATAACCACAAGAACTGCCTTTAAGCCAGAACTGGCTTTTTCTACTCTTCAGACTGTAAGTAGTTGTAGCACATGGACCCCCACCTAGATGAGCCTCGAGAGCTTCTGAAAGTGTCTTACCAGCTTCTACCAGCTCTTTGAATACCTTCAGCAGCAAAGTATCACCCCTGGTTCTCCAGTCCAGGCACTTTAAACTTCTAGGCCTCAATTCCAAGCCTCTCATCTGGATTCAGGTCCTTACCAGGCAGTGGTCCTGGGAGGCACAAACCTCTGACACACTACACCTCCTCACCAGGCAAAGCCTGGGAGAGAAAAGAGCTTCCAGAAGCACACCAAAAAATGTAAATCCTCCCCCAGCATGCACCACTGTCAATATACCTCTTAGTGGTCGGCCTGGGAGACATAACTATTCAATATGGCTCACAATTGGTGTTTTAATTCAACCCAAAGGTATTCAACAGGGTTGAAGTCAGGACTCTGTGCAGGCCACTTCAGTTCCTCCACACCAAACTAATCAAACCGTGTCTTTATGGAGCTAGCTTTGTGCTCAGGGGAACAAGGTAAAAAGTGCAGCATTGTTTTGTTTTGAAAGGCATCCAAAATCAAAAAGTACAAGCTCAGCTTACACCCTGTTCCAAACCGAATCACAGTGAATCTCAACTCCAAGTGCTTAGCCCTAGATAAGGGGATAACCCCTGAGTACATTGGCTATTTATCTACATGTTTACTAATAAACTCAATACCTTTTATGTTTGGAAGGTTTTAAGATTTCTCTTTCTGTTTTTTTTCACCTTCACAACCATCTGCAATCACCTAAAGTGTCTTTGTAGTTGTAGCATTAACAGTACCCATCATTGGAAACACCGGAACTACTGCATATCATTTAATGGGGTGTCCAACTCCATATACTTTTGGCCATATAACGTTGGCAGGAGGGTCAGGATTACACAAATGTTTTGCCATATAGTGTATTAAATCAGCATTCATTTACCTGACTACAAAGAACTACTAAAAGAATATTTCTTATTGTTTGCTGTACATAGATACATATGATTCATATTTTATTTTGTAAGGGCAACTCCTGGAAGCAGAGATGAATGGAGCTGGGAGTAAAGAGTACATCTGTCCTCTCCTCTAAGCCTCTGATCCTCTAATCCTCTAGATAGGACAAGTGGTCTGCACTCCAAGTTTACGTATGTTGTTGATTTCCCCGTAGACTTCAGTGAATCTGACACATATGATCCCAGAGGTGTCCCAAATCAAGCAGAGTGACAGAGGAAACAGGGGCCCGAGTGAGTGCAACTTCCACATAACACTTCTTTTTTCCACACCACCATCCCCTGGCTTGAAGGAACTGCTTGGTATATTAAAGGGAATCTGTCACCATGCAACTAATATTCAGTTGACAAACAGTAAGAACCACAAGGTGCCTTTATGTATTTTTAGTTTCTGATAAAAATTAGAGATTTCTGCTCACTTCCTGTTACTGGACAGGAAGTGAAGGGAAATCTACCTAATGGGACATAGGTGGAAAAAAAATTAACTGACAGTAGTTTTACCTCCTCCCTAGTCTATCCAAAACTAAAAAAGTTGGGCTATACATACACTTTAAGGGGTCTATATATAACCAATTTGCAGAATCATTTGCCCTTTGAATCTTTCTTTACATTCATTCTGTGTGAGTAGAAGCAACAATGAATGTTCTTAGATATGTTTTCTTTTCGGGTCGAATGTGTGTAATGTAATACTGTATTTTGGCCACTAGATGGAGGTAAAGATACATAGGAAATTAGCATTTCCTATGCTCCTCAGCTCCAGTTTAGCGACTCGAACATTGTTACAGCCCTTGGGTCAACATTGCAGCCAGGCAAGATGGAGAATTTAACAATGGCAGCTTCCCTATTTTCTTTTTATACATTTAGCTTAAGAATGTATCAATTATGACAAAACCTCTATTATTTTAGGAAAATACTTGTGTGGAACTGTTAAAACCCCTGTCAGGCTTCTTTAACTGTAGCCAATGCCCCCGCTGATGGGATTCACCCTCTCTATTGGTCATAGTGACCATTGTCTCAGGTACAGAAAGTGAAAGGAAATCCCAAATGATTTTAGTTGTCACTGGGACAGGAGGTGAAGGGATATCTTGCAATGAGAAAACCTGTTTCGCTGACAACTGCCTAAGCGAGGAATATCTCCTTGCTTTAAAAAGATTTCCTCTCATTTCCTGTTGTGTCTCTGGAACAGAAAGTGAAAGGAAATCTCCCCACCAGGACAATGACAGCCAAAAAAAATCTGACAGGGCTCTTAATCATACGCTTGTCTATTCAGAACGCACTACCCATGTATGAAACTTTCATAAATAATCTCCAATCATATCATCTTATTTAAACACAATTTAGTACAGTCAATCTTACAACGGAAGAGAAATAGATATACATTTATCTGTAATGGATAATATGTTTATACTGATGACATAGAGAAGTTAGACAGACAAACAGAAACCATTGGCAGAAAATGTACTTAAAGCACAGGAAGCAATGAAAGGCAATAGAAAATCATTTGTTAGATAGGTCTGTTCTGTGTACAGCATCCACTGGCATCATAAGTTATTAGCACTATTAGCACTAGCACTTAGAGGAATAGGACTATTCATACAACTGAACATAGCTCCTTCTGTCCCACATTGTGTCCATGTCAGCCAACAACGATGTGCACAGTGCAGCAAGTCCTGTGGCAACCAAATTTCAGAAGCTGCAGGCAGCTCAGGTAGGAAAGGATGGGATGGTTTGCTATGATTTACTGCAATTTGCAGAGTCTTGCCCCTCATTGCTAAGCTAATCTCTAACACTAAAGTAACCCCTGCAGCCAAATGCTTCCCTTAACCTGTGTCAGGATTTTGGCACTGCATAATCTTGGCATTGGGCTTCCATTGCTAGTGTTGTAGTAACTGATACCTACTCTGAAGCTGCACTGGCACTACCTGCTAGCATGCTGACCTTCTGCAATGAGACACTCTCTGTCAAGACCACCCAGCCCTGCCTGAGGTTCCAGTGTTGGGAACAATCCACTGCATGATCCAGGCATGAGGCTCCTGGAGCAGGGGAGGTAGTAAATAATTATCTGCTCCATTGCCACGCCGACACTGACCAGAATATACTGACCTTCTGCAATGAGATCTTCTCCGTCATGACCACACAGCCCTGCCTGAGGTTCCAGTGTTAGGAACACTGCACTGCACTGCATGATCCAGGCATGAGGCAGGGGATGTAGTAAATGATTATCTGCTCCAATGCCATGCCGGCACTGACCAGAGCATACTGACCTTGGGCAATGAGACCCTCTCTGTCAAGGCCATACAGCCCTGCCTGAGGTTCCAGTGCTGGAAACACTGCACTGTATGATCCAGGCATGAGGCACTTGATACTGGGCGTGTAGTGAATAATTCCCTGCTCATTTGCCATACAGACACTGACCAAAGCATACTGACCTTCTGAACTTGGATCTTCTGCGCCAAGGTCACTAAGCTCTGCAATAGAATCATATGGTTCTGGGATCCCAGAGCCATAAGAGTCTGATAAGAGTTTTGGGTAGTCTGGCACTTAATGCCATTTGCTGGTGCATGTATTCAATATATAATAACTGCATTCTAGGAACTGTACATGTAAAGGGAAGATTTAGAAGGTATTTTTTACAGAAAAAGTAGTGGATTCTTGAAACCGATTCCAGCTTCGGTTGTGAGACTATCAACAGTAAGTCATTTTAAAGCTGAACTCTAGCC